GAAACAGGAATTGTATCAGGTTTAACGAGTTGGGAAAACGTTTTTAAAATGAACATGGCCAGATCTGAGATCCTTCACCAGGGACTCACTCTAGGGCAGGGGTATCAAACTGGAGGCCATCCAGTCCCATCATGCCTCTACCTTTTGGGAGTCATGCTTGTAACGGTCAATCTTGCATTGCCTCATGAGACTTGTAGTTTGGCAACAGCTGGAGGGCCGCCAGTTTGACACCCGTGCTCTAGGGTGTCTCTTCTCCAGACCATCTCCTTTGCCATGGTTTTCTCAAATAGCTAATCTATATATTTGGGAATTAACCTAACCACAAATTATACAGAACTATACACTTACCAGCCACTATATTAGCTCCACCTTGCTAGTACCGGGTTGGACCCCCTTTTACCTTCAGAACTGCCTTCATTCTTCGTGGCATAGATTCAACAAGGTGTTGGAAACATTCCTCAGAGATTTTGGTCCATATTGACATGATAGCATTACGCAGTTGCTGCAGATTTGTCGGGTGTACATCCATAAACCGTTAATACAAGGCAGGATGGATCCATGCTTTCATGTTCTTTGCACCAAATTCTGACCCTACCATCTGAATGTTGCAGCTGAAATCCAGACTCATCAGACCAGGCAACGTTTCTCCAATCTTCTATTGTCCAATTTTGGTGATCCTGTGCAAATTATAGCCTCCGTTTCCTCTTCTTAGCTGACAGGAGTGGCACCTGATGTGGTCTTCTGCTGCTGTAGCCCATCTACTTCAAGGTGTTGTGCATTCAGAGATGGTATTCTGCAAACCTTGGTTGTAACGAGTGGTTATATGAGTTGCTGTTGTCTTTCTATCATCTCCAACCAGTCTGCCCATTCTCCTATGACATTAACCAGGCATTTTCCTCCACACAACTGCCACTCACTGGATGTTTTTTCTTTTTGGACCATTCTGTGTAAACCCTAGAGATGGTTGTGTGTGAAAAATCCCAGTAGATCAGCAGTTTTTGAAATCCTCAGACCAGCCCGTCTGGTACCAACTATGCCACATTCAAAGTAACTAAAATCCCATTTCTTCCCCATTCTGATGCTCGATTTGAATTTCACGTCTAGATGCCTATATGCATTGCATTGCTGTCATGTGATTGGCTGATTAGCAATTTGCGTTACCAAGCAATTGAACAGGTGGACCTACTAAAGTGGCCAGTGAGTGTACAAGACCAATCACCGACCTCTTCCCAACTGTTTTAGAGAGGACTCGGAGAGATGAGTTGCCTAAATTCACCTAATTGGGATGCATCGTCCTCAAACACAAATATTTTACAATTGGTCTTCGCTCTTGCAAGTGTTGCCAATTTACCTTACCTGAATTTTCAGGTTCCTTTAAAATAAAAATTAGAAAATGTATCTGGTTCGGCTGCAAACCTTGACTTTGCTACAAGCTGGTGATTGGACAAAAAACAGCAGGGGGACTGGGCTTTCCAGATGCCATAAATACTATGGGGCAACTCAACCAATCATAACGTTGGATTGTATTATGAGCACACACACAAAATTGGGTGGGATCCCTCAATGGATAATACTTGCGCACCATTCTTTGGTTCCACAGTTTGTAAAGAAATCTTAACACTTTCAGTGGCCCCTATGATTAAGCTGTCGAAAAACCTGGGGCTTATAAAATGGCAAATGAACTTAACCTTGCTACCCTTGATGGCCAACCCTCAATTCCCATCTGGGTTGGATTGAATGGGTCTTCAGATATTCAGGAAGTAGAAGATAAATTATAGCTGCATAATACGTCATACACTTCCATACTCTGATGGAGGTCAGGGAAAAATGGGGAGTTTCCTGACTTGATTATTGGAAGTGGAGCCAAAGCAAAAACTTTGATAAGCCTTCCATGGCACCTGCAATCTGTAGACCATCTATTCCCCTTGGAATGACATTCCAATCCAAAAATTGACCAACACCTTGTATTTCTATGTTGTACAAACTTCTTGCTTTCAAGTGCCTCCTCCTCCTCCTCCTCCACCTAAATTTGTATGGCTGAATAGGAAGGAGATCTTAATCTGAAGATTTCCCTGTGTCAATAAAATACACTTCTGATGCTGGTACATACAGTTGCAAAAAGCAATTTTAAACTATTGACTCGTTGGCACCTCACCCCAGTTCATCTTAATGCAAGGTGCTCCTCTTCACAGTGTTGGAAATGTAATTTGGGAGCCATTTTCCAAACCTAGTGATATTGCCCCCTAATAAAGGAATATTGGAGAACAATTATTAAAACTATTTACCAAATTATTGCATATATTTCCCCCCATCTGACCCATGGGTTGCTCTATTTCATGACACCAATACCTTCATCTTGAAATGAAAAAAGATGATGATACCCTATTCATTAGATGCCTTAAAAGGTAAATTACTGAAACACTGGAAATCAACAAAGCCACCTTCAACAGGTAAATGGTTTCTGAAACTTAAGCAGCTTCATGACTGAGGTATCTCCACTCGTACTGTTGATTTGAAAAAGTTTAAAAAAGTAATGTAATCAAATACTGTGGTCTGTGAGAAGTGTTTAATAGGGTGGGGCATTACCACCCACCCCCATGTCTCTTTATCATAATCTGTTCCAAGTTAGCTAGAGCAGTGGTTCTCAGCCTGTGGAACCTCAGGACCCAGATTTGTCCTTGGTCATCTAGAGCAGTGGCTCCAACCTGTGGAACCTCAGGACCCAGATTTGTCCTTTGGTCAGCTAGAGCAGTGGTTTTCAACATGTGGAACATCAGGACCTAGATTTGTCCTTGGTCATCTAGAGCAGTGGTTCTCCACCTGTGGAACCTCAGGACCCAGATTTGTCCTTGGTCATCTAGAGCAGCGGTTCTCCACATGTGGAACCTCAGGACCCAGATTTGTCCTTGGTCATCTAGAGCAGCGGTTCCAACCTGTGGAATCTCAGGCCCAGATTTGTCCTTTTGGTCAGCTAGAGCAACGGTTCCAAACCTGTGGAACCTCAGGACCCAGATTTGTCTTTTGGTCAGCTAGAGCAGCGGTTCCAAACCTGTGGAACCTCAGGACCCAGATTTGTCCTTTGGTCAGCTAGAGCAACGGTTCCAAACCTGTGGAACCTCAGGACCCAGATTTGTCCTTTTGGTCAGCTAGAGCAGCGGTTCCAAACCTGTGGAACCTCAGGACCCAGATTTTGTCCTTGGTCACCTAGAGCAGTGGTTTTCGACCTGTGGAACCTCAGGACCCAGATTTGTCCTTGGTCCATGTCACGACCCAAAAATAATTTAATTTCCGAAACATCATTTATTCCACAAAACAACTTGTGCAGTATTCTACAATGTATATGTGCTTTTTAAACAGAAAACAAATGGCTTCCTTCCAAAACGGATAGAGCAGTAATCACTGCGCTAGTTGAAATGAAAATGCTGTTGATGTAAAAACCCAGTAAGATAAATGACAGTTGAAACCTATGAAATTAATTAGAACTAATGGGAAAATTGGGGATGCTTCTTGCTCTTGACAAGTGTCTCAAAGTCTGGGGTGATGGTAGGGGCATTAGAGAGACCTGCGGGGAACTTGCCCCGTGACCCAGTCCACCCCTTATCGTGATCCATTACTGGAGAAACACTGAGCTGGACGTCCCTGAACCGTTTTTGATTTGTCACCGTAATTGATCAAGTACCACTTAGAGAGTTGTAAATGTCTACTATGGAGGTCTGAATCCTGAATGCTGTGTGTAACGGAACTGGGCCCAGACCGCGCTTGGGTATTTCCGTTATACTACAGCTTCCCTGTCCGAACACAAATCCCCGGACACCCCCCGCTGATCATGCAGGCAATAGACAGCACCAGACTCTTCTTAAGACAGGAAGTCAACTGCTTTATTTTAACACAAACACAAGATCTATACACAGGGCGGGGAAACACAACCAGGAACAGGAAACACATCATCAGGCCGTCCCGTCAGTAGAAAGGGCTACAGAAAACACCCCCCACACAACCAAGACACAGAACAATGGGATGCAGCACATAGCAGAGAACAAAGGACAATCCCCACACCAATACACAATACTAAGACATTTCCCACCCTGTACCCCTTAACAGGCACAGGGTGGATTAAACATAAGAATTTGGGAAGATGATCCAGGGGTCCCCCCACCCCCAAAAGTCACTCCCGTCACACTGTTATTTCCATAGTAAAGGCCTGTAAACTTCATTAGAACCATTATTAGAGCAAAAAGCCCCTGTACCAAAATCTGACAAAGCCGAACACTGCTTCTGACTTATTGCACGGTTTATATGTGCTGAAAATGTATCCCAATGCTCTGAATAGGTCCAAAGAATGAATGAAATTGTACCAACCAATAGAAATAATAGGGCTCCCTAAAAAATTAAATACAAAAACTTCAAACTTGACTATTTTTTAAATTTAATAATGAACGTTAAAAGAAAGAGAAGAACTTTACTATAGTTAAATTTCCATTGCTTTATCTCTCTATAGGTGGATTGACGAACCAGGTTTTTGGTCAGGTTGGTCTTCATAGTCACTCTGGTGCCAAGTCCATGGTGGTGCTCTTAGAGACTGAGAGGCTTTACTGGAGGATTCATGCTGAAGACAAGCCATCGTGTTCTAAATTTCATGATTGCTTTGGATCCTCTTCAACATTGATCCAGCCTCAGAGGACAACAGGAGAGAAGTCATTTCAGGGTTCTGGAAGTGACAACGGCTTTAAGTCAAACCCAAGTGAGAGAACCTATATCTCGTTTGGAGTGGAACAGTGCTTTTACGGCAAAATCAGACCTAACTAAATACCAGATGGAACGCATAGAAGGGCAGCCTTTTCTGGGTTCAGAATGCATCATAGCTTTTACATTGCAACCGAACCTTGGACATGAGATAGTTCACACTAAAGTGAAGAGGTATTTTTGTTCTAAATGTGGCAAAGCTTTTGCCGTAAAGTCAAAACTTATCACACACGAGAGGGTTCACACTGGGAAAAAAGCCATTTCAGTGTTCCAAATGCGGCAAAGCTCTCAGTACAAAGGCAAACCTTATCACACACGAGAGGGGTCATACAGGAGAGAAGCCATTTCAATGTTCTGAATGTGGCAAAGCTTTTACATCAAAGGCACAGCTTACCAGTCATAAATTGGTCCACACTGAAGGCAAACTGTTTCAGTGTTCCGAATGTGACAAAGCCTTTCTAAGGAAGTCCTATCTCCGGAGACATAAGATGGTTCACACAAACACGTTTCAGTGTTCCGAATGTGACATGGCTTTCAAAACAAAGTCGCAGCTTATCAGACACCAAAGAGCTCACACCGGAGAGAAGCCATATCCATGCCCAAAATGTGATAAAGCTTTTACACAGAAAGCACGTCTCATTATACACCAAACGGTTCACACCGGAGAGAACCTCCATCAGTGTTCTGACTGTGGCAAAGCTTTCGCATGGAAGTCGGCTCTTATCGTGCACCAGAAGGCTCACCATTTAAAAAAGCCATATTATTGTTCCGAATGTGGCAAAGCTTTTACAGCCAAGTCACTGTTTATCCTACACCGGAGGATCCATACTAGAGAGAAGCCGTATCAGTGTACGGAGTGTAACAAAGCTTTTTCATGGAAATCAAACCTCATCACCCACCGAAGAGTCCACAATGGAGAAAAGCCATATCGCTGTTCGGAATGTAACAAACATTTTAGAGAGAAGTCCAACCTTATTATGCACCAGAGGGTCCACACTGGAGAGAAGCCATATCAGTGTTCTGAATGTAACAAGGCTTTTAGGGTGAAATCTATGCTGCTCAGGCACGAGAGGGTCCACACGGGGGTGAAGCCATTTCAATGTTCCAAATGTAATAAAGCTTTTACATTGAAGGGAAACCTTATCATGCATGAAAGGATTCACACCGGAGAGAAGCCGTACAAGTGTTCTGAATGTGACAGAGCTTTTACGGGGAAGGCTGAGCTTATCATACACGAGAGGAGCCACACCGGGGAGAAGCCGTATCGGTGTCCTGAATGTGACAAAGCTTTTAAAAGTAAGTCCGATCTCGCCAATCACAAGAGGGTTCACACCGGAGAGAGGCCGTATCCGTGTTCTGGGTGTGACAAAGCATTTGCAAGGAGGTCAAACCTTGTCAAACACCAGATGATTCACACGAGAGAGAAACCATTTCAGTGTTCCGAATGCGGTAAAGCTTTTATAGTGATGTCAGGTCTTCTCAGACATAAGAAGGTTCACGCTGGAGGAAAACCGTACATAGAGAAGCCTTTTCAGTGTTCTGAATGTGACAAAGCTTTCGCCCAGAAGACACATCTCATCAGACACGAGAAGCTTCACACCGGAGAGAAGCCGTTTCAGTGTTTTAAATGTCATAAAGCTTTTATACAGAAGACACACCTTGCCCGACACCTGAAGGTTCACGCTGGAGATAAATCATGTTCTGAATTCGACAAAGCTTATCGGGCACTGGAGGGTTCATCCTCAGCTGCAGTAAAGGAGGAGACTCTAGGAGAAGGATGGTATTAAAGGGGTAGCAGCTATGAAATTGTTGGGGTGTCACAGAAGTTTCACACCCCATGCCATCCAGAAATCTAGTAGAAAGGTACAATGATACTTTGAAAAACACACTTGCTACTTTTCATGAGCGAACAGGAATGTAATGGAAGGATGCATCGAGTTTATCGCCTTTGTCCATGATGCACACACCTAGGGAAACAGAATATTATACCGTTTGAGGAGATACTTTCTTGGCAAGCTTCAATGGCTGAACTGTGCTTCTCTTAAAGATTCTTTTTTTTGTTGTTGCTAATGAAGTTTTGACTGAACATGTAATTTGTTTGCATCATACATTAAACGATCTGGGTTCCCAAGTCTTTTCTTTGTGTCAGATCCCTGGCTAATAAATTAATAACTTTCCCTCTCTGGCTAAAGAACATGCAGCATTTTGCCAAGCCTCTGCAGTCAAGCTTGAGGGCTCCGAAATAAAGCTGTCCATCAAAATTCAGCTGGTTTAGCAGGGACTGGATGAATTTTGATCAGTGTGTGGGCTATCTTGAGAGAAGTTTGATCTTTGACTTCTGTCAAAAGCACATGTTGGAAAATGTTTCTTGATTAGCCACTGAGAAGTGTATTCTGACAGCAGAGGGTGCTGCTGTCGGTACATAAAGTCCCAGTGTGGAGGAGGCCTTCATCCTCATTGGTGTGGTTGGAGGAATCTCAGCCAGAAAAAAAAAACCTCACCATGTATGGCCAGCTGCAGACCATCTGGTCATGCCTCCCTTTTCAAAAAGGTTCCCCTTCTCCTATATGACAACAGCAATCGAGGTAGGTCTGTGCCTGGGACACTCTCTGGTGAAAAAGCTGCTTCCTATGTATCACATACAGTGCCTGGTAAAGACTGGAATGCTGTGGATGCCTCTATTGCACCTCCTGCCCAAAACTCATGAAGGTGGAGATAGAGCGTGAAGGCATGGAGTGGCAGGAGTTGCTGGCTGGTGATGTCCACCCTTTAGGTGAGTAGAGCTGGTAGGTGCAGTCCTTTTGGACAGGATTCTGAAGCAGCTTGGCAGCAGTACAGAAGATGGAGCCAGGGCAGGAAGCCAGGCAGCAGACCGTGACAGCCAGCCAGCTCGGGACCAAATCAGACAGAGGCAGGCCAAGTCCAGGAGGCAGGACAAAGTCAGTAACAGCTAGGCAAAGCAGTACGGGATCAGAAGACAAAGAAAAGTCCAGTAAACAGTCTGGGGTTAGAATAGTCAAATAGGGCAGAGGGGAAGTCCAAGGAAAAGCCAGGCCATAGACAGGTAAGTAAGTGCAATGGAAAAACAGGTGTATAAGCGCTGCAAACCTCCCTCAGTAACCACTCCACCTGGTGCTCTGACCCAAAGGCTGGTGATGTCCCCGTAAATCCACAAACTGCTGAGCCAGTCAACAGTAAATCGCTTCAAACATGTTTGGGCCAAGCATAGATCTATACTCAGACAAAAAAAGTTAACAACCCCCCCCAAAAAAAAAAAAACATTAAAAAAAATGTGCAGTCTAGATGGACTACCCGGTCTTTTTCTGCCGTCACTTCCAAGTTTTTATGATATAGACAAAAGGTGGTCGGCACTTCAGCATGAACAACCAGCATCCTACTTCTTTATGAAATGGACATACACAAGGCTGAAACAGCCGGAACTTAATCCCTCTTCTGCAATGCGTTGGATGTTTCAGCCTTGTTTGTGAGTTGGAAGGTTTGGTGCATGAAGAGAACTATGATTGAATTGGTATTGCTGAATCTTGGCTTCATTCTTCGCATGACTGGGCCATTAATATTCCTGGCTAGGTTCTCTTTCGGAGAGACGGGGGAATAGGAAAGGTGGTGGTGTCTGTCTTTATGTGAGAAGTGATCTCAGAGCGAGTGTGAAAGAGGACCTAGTTGATGGAGAGTGTGATGAGGCTGAAGTATTACGGGTGGAACTGCACATGGGGGTGCGTTCTACAAAGGTCATCATTGGAGTTTGTTATAGGCCTCCCAGTGTTAATGAAGAGGTGGAAACTCAGCTCCTTGCACACATCAAAAGGACTGGGACAGTCATAATAATGGGAGATTTTAACTACCTAGAAATTGACTTGACTAATGGTACTTCAGGACCAGTTAAAGGGCAAAAATGTATAAATCTACTACATGACAATTTTATGGTACAGTTCTTAGAGATCCCAACTAGGAATGATGCTCTGCTGGACCTGGTCATCTCAAACCATGCAGAGCTTATTATGAATGTCCATATAAAAGAACATCTGGGTAGCAGTGACCATAACATGATTTCATTTATTGTTAGCTGTAAACAAGCACACACAGGAAAAATAAAAATACTCAACTTTAAGAGAGCTAATTTTCCAAGGCTGAGAGCCGCTCTCCAAGACTTAGACTGGGAGGGAATATTGGCATCAATGAACACAACACAGAAATGGGAGTTCTTCACAAAGACTGTGACCACACTGCAAAATATATTCCCATGGGCAACAAGTGTAAAAGGCTAAAAATCAAACCTATGTGGCTTACGGCCAAAGTTACAAAAGCTATAGATCATAAGAAAAGAGCTTTTATTACATATAACAATGAAGGAACGCGATCATCGTTTACACATTACAAAGAATATGCAAAAAGGAAATAAAGGCGCAAAAATTGAAACCGAACGACAGATTGAAAAAGATATCAGGACCGACCCCAAAACATTCCTCCAATATATGAATAGTAGAAAGGTCCGGTCCGAGCATGTAGGCCCTTTACAGAACCATCTAGAGGGGGTGACTGGGGACAATGAGGGCAATGTATGACATCCCTTCTTCAGCTCCGTGTATACAAAGGAGCGTGGGGGGGAGCTCTTGTCCATAATGGGGGGTGGTACTGACACCCCCCAGATGATCCACAATGGCTCACAATTGATATGATCCAGAAATATTTAGACAGAATAAAGGTGAATAAAGCCCGTGGACCGGATGGCATACACCCACGGGACCTTAAAGAATCCAGCTCTGTCATCTCACAGCCATTGTTTCTCATTTTTAGGGACTCTTTAATGACTGGCATAGTACCACTGGATTGGTGTAAGGCCAATGTGGGGCCAATATTTATAAAGGGGACAAAATCTTTCCCAAGTAATTATAGAGCTGTTAATGTAACTTCTATAGTTGGGAAGATACTGGAGAGTTTAATAAAAGACCACAGAGAGGAGTTCTTGCTGGAAACAAATATTGTAAGCAACAGACAGCATGGATTCATGAAAGAAGAAGTTGTCAAACAAATCCAATTTCTTCTTATGAGGAGGAGAGCAAAACCTTGGACAGAGGGGTGGTGGTGGATGTGGTATACTTGGACAGAGGGGTGACGGTGGACGTGGTATACTTGACCAGAGGGGTGGCGGTGGCCGTGGTATACTTGGAGAAAGGGGTGGCGATGGACGTGGTATACTTGGACAGAGGGGGCGGTGGATGTGGTATACTTGACCAGAGGGGTGGCGGTGGACGAGGTATACTTGGAGAGAGGGGTGGCCGTGGATGTGTTCTACTTGGACAGAGGGGTGGCGGTGGAAGTGGTATACTTGGACAGAGGGGTGGCTGTGGACGTGGTATACTTGACCAGAGGAGTGGCGGTGGATGTGGTATACTTGACCAGAGGAGTGGCGGTGGATGAAGTATACTTGGAGAGAGGGGTGGCGGTGGATGTGATATTATTGGATTTTGCAAAAGTGTTTGACACAGTTCCTCACACCAAGGGGACCCCAAGGTTCAGTGTTATTAGTGGGGTACCCCGAGGTTCAGTATTATTAGTGGGGTACCCCGAGGTTCAGTGTTATTAGTGGGGGACCCCAGGGTTCAGTGTTGAGACCCTTGCTTTTTAATATATTTTATAAATGATATGGGGTGTGAGATTATAAATCCCATTTCAGTCTTTGGAGATGACACCAAGCTGTGCCGGGAATAACGTCCTTACAGGATGTCTCCAACTTAAAAGCCGACCTCAATGCTCTGTGTAATTGGGGGGCTATGGGGCCAATGAGGGCTAATGGTGATAAATGTAATGTTTTGCACTGGGGGCTAAGAATATGCATCATACATACTAGGGGGGGTCAATAGTGGAGAAGGAATCTGGAATATGTAGTTCAGTTTTTGGGATCCAATTCACAAAAAGAACATTGGGGAACTGGAGAAAGTACAGAGAAGGACAACCAAACTGATACGAGGCATGGAGGAGATCAGCTATGAGGAAAGATTAGAGGAACTGAATGTATTCTCTACTGAGAAGAGGAGAAAAAGGGGGGATATGATCTCCATGTATAATACATAAGGGGGGATATATGATCTCCATGTATAATACATAAGGGGGGATATGATCTCCATGTATAATACATAAGGGGGGATATGATCTCCATGTATAATACATAAGGGGGGGATATGATCTCCATGTATAATACATAAAGGGGGGGGTGGATATGATCTCCATGTATAATACATAAAGAGGGGGGGGGATATGATCCCCTCCATGTATAATACCTTAAGGGGGATATAATCGCCATGTATAATACATAAGGGGGATATGATCTCCATGTATAATACATAAGGGGGATATGATCTCCATGTATAATACATAAGGGGGGATATGATCTCCATGTATAATACATATGGGGGGGATATGATCTCCATGTATAATACATAAGGGGGATATGATCTCCATGTATAATACATAAGGGGGGGATATGATCTCCATGTAGAATACATAAGGGGGGGGGATATGATCTCCATGTATAATACATAAGGGGGGATATGATCTCCATGTATAATACATAAGGAGGGATATGATCTCCATGTATAATACATAAGGGGGGATATGATCACCGTGTATAATACATAAGGGGGGATATGATCTCCGTGTATAATACATAAGGGGGGATATGATCTCCGTGTATAATACATAAGGGGGGATATGATCTCCATGTATAATACATAAGGGGGGATATGATCTCCATGTATAATACATAAGG